CCTGGCCTCTCCCCCAGGCTCCCTTTCCCAGCTCTCTCCCGCTTTTCAGGCCAAGTTGTTTCACTCAAGCACACCCGTCAGCGTCAGCGCAGAAACTCCATTTCCCCCAAGTAGAAGTCGTGGGTTCAGGATGAGATTTCCCGCCTTCCCTCCCCAAGACCAGAGCTGAGACAAAAAATGGAATGGCAAACAGACAGAATTGAAACTGCTATGCATCTCGCCCCCAGAGCGGATCGAGGGCTAACTACTTACATGTCAGGGGCATTTTTTGACCTGTGGGGATCTCTTGGTGCTTGGAGAGAAGGACCTTGGAAAATTGGTGTCGTCGTTTCACCCTGTCTTCTTTTTACTCGTCCATTGGAGAGAGAGAGATACAATGTGCTGGCAGGGATTCATGCGCCTTGCCTCTCCCCATTACTCTGGGCAAGAAATCGCCAGCCCCACAAAAGCAGTGGCATCCTATCTGGAGACCAGGGGCCGAGCCCGAGCTGGCTTGGGAGGGTTGGGGGTGGGGGTGGGGGAAAGGTCAGAGGCGCTGGCGAATATAAAGGCGATGTGAGAGAAAATGTTGTGCCCTCCCCGTGAACCTGGGCTGTGTTCCCCCCTCTCCCCCCTCAGCCTTTCCCCACTGCTCAACCCAACTTCAATAAAAAGCCCCAGCCCTCAGCCCTGGGAGGCTGTAGGAGCAGCATCGGGTGGAGCAACAGCTTCAGGGGACCAAGTCTGCCAAAGCGAGGGCCCTGGCCCAGGGTGGCCCCACACAGTCTCCCCCAGCCCTCCCCAGCAGCCTGGTCCTATATATGGGTGGTCAGGTCCAAGGCAAAGGGATCTTTGGGGAAAAGAGGGGAGAATGGAGCCCGCTGGAGGGAAGAACAGAGGCCGGAATCTTAAAAACTCAAGTGTAAAGGGGTTTAACTTTATTTTATTGGTCAAGAATTATGGGTTTCTGATGTTTCAGAGCAAGAGGGATAGAGACACGGAGGGAACGATGATGCGTCTATGTGTGAGGAGCGGAAGGAGGAACTGGAGCCCCTAACGAGGGGAAATAAAAGACTGTCCAATTCTTTTAATCTGCTTTTCCTTCAACAAGTTCAGGGAGAAGCTGAAGAGATAAAAGACAGTGGTTCCCCCCATCTTTGCTTTCATCTTCTCCCTTTTCAGGAGGAGAGGGAGTCAATGCCCCTCAAATCAAACGAGCCAAGTTGGGAAAGGACTACGGATCTAATTTTACTTTCTCCCCCCTCTCTTCCCTCTCAGCTTCCTCACAGGGCTGGGAGGACCAGCAGGCCCACCCCTCAGACCCCCTTTCCTCTTCCCAAGCACAGCCAGCCCCTCTCTTTCTGCCCCAAAGTCAACTCTCTCAAGATGACAGCAGCTACAGTCAGATTTGGCCCCTAATTCACTTGATTGTGTTAAATAACTCCAGATAATTGTTGGCCCTGCTTCCCTGCACTGTAGGCAGCATGTTTTGCTGTCTCCAGGGCACCATTGAGAAAGGAGAAAGTAGACCTACAGGACCAAATGATTTCCCTCCACACACACACACACACACACACACACACACACACACACATACACACACACACACACGCACACGCACACACGCACCCCCACTCCAAGAACCAGCCAGCCAGCAAGTGGTACGAGAGGAAATAAAGCCAGAGCATGCCAAACAGATCCTCACAACTTGGTCCCCCTGCTGCCTTTCACTCCAGGATTTGGGGAGAGAGGGAATGCGTATCCCTGGCTCCTCTACGCACCCAGATCTCCCCTCCTTCTCTTTTCTACTTCTGATAATGCTTCATCCTAAAATTTGGATAAATTGCCTGAGAAACTCACCAGCTGCCTCCCCCACATCCTAACAAACAAGCAAAAATGTGAGCAGGTCTTGCTTAGAGCTTGATCAACCAGAATTATTCGGGGACCTTTGGCTTCAATCAACTATTCAGGTAATCCAGACCAGTTTTCTTATTTTGCTTCTTTTTAGTTTTTAGCCCCAAGGAAATAAGTTTAAAACAAATCTTTTTTTTTTTTTTTTTTTTTTTTTTGCAGAGCCAGAGAGCCTTCCCTTAGCCTTGCCGGGACCTGCTGAAACAGGGTGGTCCCTGCCTCTCTCTGTATCTTTTCTCAACACCTGGCAGGTCCATGATAAAAGTTAGGGGGGGAGAAATAAGAGTTCTTCACTCTCTCCAGGCATCAGGCTTTGAGGCCTACCCATGCAAGGGGCCTCCCAGGCCTCTGGCCTCCACTTCACCCTTCTTTCCAAGTCTAAACAAACAGAGAAGCCATCCTGACAGGTCACTTTGCTGCCTCAGAATCACCAGCTCAAAATCTTTCTTCTTTTAAGGAGATCATACATGTAGAAGGGGCATCTTTCTTAATGCCTCATCTCCCCCCACACACACCCCAAAAAAGTCCTAAAAGATCAAAGATTTTTTCCCTCCTACCTAAACTTGCCTTCTCATCTGAAATTAGGCAGGCCTGCTCAGCATAGAGAAAGGAGAAGGGAGGAGAGGGGAAATAAAAAAAAAAGAAAGCTCTGTGCCTAACTATAGGAAAGTGAGACCCCCACACCCAGCTCCCCTGTAAGTACCCCCAGAGAGTCTGACCCCTGCAGAGTCAGAGGGAAGGGACAGGAGAAATCAGCCCTAACCTTCCACATGCCCTCTTCAGAGTGTCCCCTGTCCCACCCCCCTCACTGGTTCTTTTAAGGATATTGCAAAACTAGAGTTGAGAGTTAAGGTTTGTGTGTTTGCTCAGAGTAAACTTAGGTAACTATAGAGAAGGGGGGATGTTACCAGACCAGAAAGAGGAGGGGGATAAAAAGAAACCATCAGACATTGACGTAAAACTAATTCACATCCACTGGTTTATTATTGATCACGGGGCATTTCACATCGACACTAAAATTCTTTATTGCAAGTTTTACAATAATCAAGTAAATTCAGTCCAAAAACACAATAACCATGATGGGGGGTGAGGTGGGGAGATTCTACCTATAGACTGCCTGCCTCTCTGAACTGAAAGTTCATTTTTATTTTCTTTTGGCTCCTCAAACTGAACAGCTCTGAGAGGCTCTCCAGATGCAGTTAGCTTTGTCTGCTGTCTTCCCCCACCTCCTCCCAGCCTCCCCCCACAACAATAATACAAAAGAACTTCATAGCTTTGTTCTCCTTAAAATGACTTCCCTCTCCCTAACCTCCCCTGGTGCATTTTCAATGCAAAAGGCCTAAGGAAAGAGGGGGAGAGCGGGAGGAGGAGGAGAAGGATGAGAATTAGCTTTAAAAATCTCTTTCATTTTTTTTTCTTTTCCTCATTTCCCCTGAAACTCACCCAGACCAGACCAGCACACCTTGCACGATATATAATTTTTGCAGTTTTCTTTTCTTAAAAAATAAATAACCCCCCCAACATGGCCTTAAGAAAAAGAAAAACAACCCAGCAGGTACCATGCTAAGACAACATCACATGCTTTAAGGGTCCTTAACAGACGAAGGGAGAGAAGGGCTAGGGGGCTTGTCTGTTTATCTGTTTCTGTCTGTTTGGAACTGACAAGGGATGAGGTGGGAGGAAGAGAGAAAAGAACCAAAATATATATATATTAAATTCTATAAATAAGAGTCAATCTGTGTGTGAGGGGAGGCGGGGGGTGCGGGGCGGGGGCAGGGTGCGGGTTATGTTTTATAACCTGGTGATGTCCTCTGCCCGCTGCTGCTCCTGCGGCGTGGCGCCCTGGGAGTGGTCCTCAGAAGTGCCCGGGGTGGCCGCCGAGAGGGTGCTGGGCGCCGCGCCGGCCGGGGGCGCGGACCTGACTTTGGTGTTGGGGAGTCGGTGGTCCTTCTTCCATTTCATGCGGCGGTTCTGGAACCAGATTTTGATCTGCCTCTCAGAGAGGCACAGCGAGTGGGCGATCTCGATCCTCCTCCTCCGGGTCAGGTAGCGATTGTAATGAAACTCTTTCTCTAATTCCAGGACTTGCTGCCGGGTGTAGGCTGTCCTCGAGCGCTTGGGTTCCCCTCCGTTATAATTGGGGTTCACTGAGGGGGGCGAGGGGGGGATGGGAAAAGCAAACAGTGGGGTTCAGAGGCAGCAGCTCCCTGCCCCCACCCTCACCCCCGACCTCAGCTCTGTGGATCCGGGAGGAGGGGGTGGTGGGGAATCAGGTCATCAAGCTAAATGGCTTACAGAGAAGTTGGAGGAAGCTGGAGACTTTGTAGTGTAATAAGAGGGGGAATCCTCATTGTAACGACACTGAATTATTTATGCGCCCTTAGAAAGCGAGCATAGTTTTCACACATACATAACAGATCGTAGCACATGGCTCGGACTGCCCAGAGTAGCTAAGCCATAAAATTTATGGGGGATGTAATTACCCATTCTCGCTCGTAAATCCAGTTCAATTGTGCTAACCCAGAGTAGCTCCTGGAGAGAGAGAGAGGGGGGAAGGAGAGAAAGGAGGACGGGGGCCGGAGAGAGGGGGCCGGGGAGGGTGGGGAGCGCCGGGGAAGAGGGGAGGGAGGGAGGGGGGAGAGCAAAAAGCAAAGTTGCCTACCCGTGCTAACGTGGATTTTTTTCATCCATGGGTACACTATGGGCTGCTTGCTGGCGGTGCTGGAGGGATGGTCGGGGGCTGGCTGGCTGCAGGCTGGCGGGGCTGGGGACGGGGAGGCGGAGGCGCCCGAGAGAGGCGCCGGCTCGCAGAGCGGCTGTGCCTTCTCGGGGAGGTGGTGGCCGGCCGGGCCAGGCCCGTGGCCTCGCGCGCTGCCCGGGCCCTGGAGGCTGGTGCAGCTGTACTGGCGCTCGGGGTAGCTGGGGCGCGGAGGCGGCGGTGGGTACAGCTCCTGGTGGTGATGCTGCTGGAATCCCGATTCCCTGGTCCGGCCGTAATATTCCGGACTGTGCTCAGGGATGTAGCTATTTTGCGAATATTCTTCGCATGGAGGAAATTTCGGATCGATGTAGTTAGAGTCCATCAAATACGAGCTCATGATCATTAATTTCTGGAGTGGAAAATAATTTTTCTCGCTTTGTCGTTTTTCTGCTCCATAAAGCCCTCCTACTAGCTAGCGACCCTGTAAAGTTACTTTCACCATGTGACTCCGCCGGCCAATCACACGGAGCAACCCAGTCCCCGGATAAGGAACCGAATCGCTTTATTCAAAATGTATCCAATTTTTTTGTGTGTGTGGTGGTGGTGGTGCTGCTGCTGGGGTGGTGGTGGTGGTGGTGATGGGGGGTTGGCTGGCAGAGGCTGGGGTGTCTCGGTGCGCACCCCACAGGCTGACAGCCCTCCCCTGTAAGAGGAGGGGAAGCCCCCAGCGATCCTCCCCAGCCTGGGCATGGAGGGGCTGGGGGAGGCTGTGACTCGGCCCCCTCCTGGAGTCTCCCCTAGAGCTTTCCAAGGGCCCCTTGGGCCTCGGCTCCTGGGCTCTTCCAAAGGCTTCCATTCCTGGTGATCCTGTCTGTCCGTGGAGGTCACCAGGCAGCGCCCCTCTTTTGCAGGAAGAGGAAGTTGAATGAGGGCTGGAGTGGAGGTTGGATGGGGAGGAGCCCGGGCTGAGCCCAGGGGAGGCTGAAGAGCCCGGGGTGCCCCCCATTCAAGCGTGCCAGAGCCCAGCCCCCTCCCGTGTGTACACACTCACCCGACCCTCTGGCCCAGGGGCCGGCGAGGCAGGCTCCCAGCTGGACCTGGCAGGTAGAGGCAGTGGGATGCAAATGATTCTGACGTCATTTCTGGAGGTCTGGGGGGTTGAGCCCCGCTGAAGAGAGACAGGAAGTGGTTGGCAAAAGCAGTGTTCAGAAGCCTTGCCCTCCCGAGCACCCACTGAGCCTCCCTGCCCCAGCCCAGGACCCTGGGACCTCTCCCACTGCCAGTCCCACTCCCCCTGCGGCTGGGCCTGCAGCTCCCTGACCCCCGCCTCCAGGCTGCTTCCTGGAGCCGGGCAGGGAGCAGCGGGACCTGCCAGGAGCAGCGCCCGCCTGGGCTGTGCCCGCCAAGGCCCTGGGCGCTCTTCCTTCTCCGTCCCCACAGAGGGCAGACCTCGCTGAGCGGGAGGCAGGCCTGCGTGGAGAGAGCTTGCTCCGGGCCAGGGATTGTATCCATGTAACACATGTGTTTACATGTAAACACACATTCCCAGAGGCCATATCCAGGCTGCCTTCCAAAAGCTGAGGGGTTGAGCTCACCAAGGGGGAGGCTGGGTACACCTAAGGGGGGGGGGTGTCTCCAGCCCTCAGGAACACCTTTGTGCCCGGGGTGGCAGGGCCACGGGGGGGGGGGGAAGGGGAGGGGCAAGAAGGGTTGCTTTTCACCGCCCCCCCCCCCAGATAGGGATGGCCGTGTCATGCCACCAATTCCAATGAACTGATCCCATAACACAGAGTTGGGGGGGGGGGGGCGGCAGAAGGGAGAGCCCAGGGAGGGAGCCTGGTCCCCTTGTTGTACTTGATAACAATTATAGTTTAAAATCATAGCTTGCCGGGGCCCGGCTATATTTTACTTGATAACAATAAAAGTGACACATAAAGTTAACTGTTTATGTTTTATTTATTAGACTAAATCTGCCAGCGGTGGTAGGAGCGCTCGCCTCGGCGCTACAGCTTTTATAGGGCTGTAAAACGTCATAAATCAGTCTCGCGGAATCGCCCGCACTCTTTGTGTCGGCGGCGGCGGCGCAGGGCTGGCGGCCGCTGGCTGCCTGCTCCCTCCTTTCCACGAAAAGTCGTAATGTGATTTTTCCCCCTCTGATTTTATTATTATGATCGCCGCCGTGATTAGCCAATCTACCTTTAATTCGCCGCCCTGCGCTGCCTCCTCCCAGCCCAGCCTGGTTGACACTTGAATAAGTACCTTTTAAAACGGCATAACAACTATTTGAGGGTTTAATTAGAACATCTGCAATTAAGGGAATGAGGAGGGGAAGAGGAAAAAAAAAAAATAAAGCCCTTGTGAGAGGAAGGCGGAAGGCGGGAAATTCTCAGCCTGTCTCTCACCATCTCTGGGAGGCCAGAGAGGGTCCCCACTTCCAAATTAGGGCTCACCCTAAGGCACGGGTCACACCGGGCCACAGCTGACGTCCAAAGGCTGATCCTCCTTCCTGCCTCCCACCCTCAACCCAGGTGCCTGGGGAGCGGGTCCCTGGATACACCCTCCCAAGTAGATGATGCTCTGCCCCCTGCCATCAGGTGGGTGAGGGAACAGAAATTCCTGGGGGTGTGCCATCTCTTGGAGGAGATTCCCAAATGTCCACAGACCCCCCACTCCTGTGCGGGACCCTCTGAGTGTGAGGACTGGCTGGTTTGGTTGGAAGAGGAACGTGAGACTTTGAGGAGGGGAAGGTTGATAGTGGTGTGGAGTGAGTGAGGGTTTTATTTTTTTGTAATTATTGGCGGTGGGGTGAGAGCAAGAAGAGGGGCAAAAGGAAACCAAAGCTGAATGCTGACCTGCAGGAAAGTCTGAACCGCTGCCCCCAGGGGAGAGCCAAAGCGCTGGGGAGTCTCAGGTGGGGGGTAGGGGCGCTAAAGGCACTGAAAGCCTCCTAGCCCCACCCCAACCTCCCTTCCAGGCCAGCTCCTGGGTCAGGCTGCCCCACCCCAATCCGGCCCAGATACCTTCTCCCCACCTGACCTGTGAGGTCTTGGCCTGGCTCCCCTTCCCCCAGCCCTCACACTCAGCTTCTGCCAGCTCTGCCTCCACCTCAGTCCTCACCTCTTCTGTCTCCTTACCCTCTCGGGCTTGTTAGGGGGTCTTTCCCAAGGCACTGTCCACCCCACATCCTACCAACCTGCTCCCCAGGATTCTGAGCTCCTGCAGGTGGCCAGAGGGAGTGGGAGAAGGAAACCACTTCAGGCCAGTATGTGTAAGTAGACACAGAGAGTTCAGATGCCTCCAACTAAATGTCAAATCTGTCTTTGGTTATTACAGCTAACAAATATATATATATATACACTACTAATGTTTATTAATATATTAAATACATCCTTATGCAGCCACAGATATATGTGTGGTTCTCATTGCAGGCTTGCACAGCTAATTCAACATGCACATTCATAAAGAGAAATCTGGGCGATTCCCCCAAATATGCCCACATTTATCTATATCACTTACCAAAAACAAAACAAAACAAAACAAAAAACACCTCTCTTCTGGCTTCTATAGCTTAATAGCAAGGAAGTTGCCTATCTCACGAGGAAAATAGCAAGCCAGACTGCACCACACACATACATACAAACATTTTCACTTGTTAGCAGTGCGGAAATCAAACCCTGCACTTAGCACTGGCTTAATTGGGGGTGTATGGGGGAGGGGCGGAGAGGGGGAAGAGGGGGGCACTACAGCAGTGGCTCTCCTCACTGACGCCTGCCTAGTCTCTGTCCTGCCTCCTTTTGTGCATTACCCTCCCGCATCCGGCCTTGCCAACCCAAGGATCTCTCTACTCTCCCACTGGCTCTGCCCTCCACCTCTCTCTGACCCAATTTTATTTTTTATTTTTTTTTCTGACTACCTTTTGCCAGCTTCTAAACACTCTCCGAATACCCCCCGACCCTATATCCTTTCTAAATCTCGATCTGGTTTCTCTTTTGGAAACATGTTTCAGTACAAAGCGCTTCCCTTCTGACACCGCTGAAGAAAAATATGTGTCCATTGTGTGCGAGGCCTTATTGTGCCCGGATTACCATACTGACCGTTGGATAACCCATATTCCTCCCCTCCCCAGTAACGCGCTGCCGGCTGAGAGACCTCAGCGGCTCCACAGATTCTGTGCTGCATTAAAATCCGCCTCTTAGACTCCCTGAATTTTCCTAGGGAGAAGAATAAATGTGAGGACCATGTAGGATTTGGAAAGCAAAGAGAAGGAAAATGAGAGTCATTCCTTTCACAGAAGTGCAGGGTTTTGCTTTTAGTGTATGTATGTGGGTTTTTTGTTGTTGTTATTTTAGAGATTGAAAACGGCAACCTATCTCTTTCTTCTTCCTGAAATAAATTGGCTTTTAGATAGTATGCAATCAGATCATTCATTTTATTTTTATTTTTTCCTCAAACTACCTCAAAACCCCAAACTAAAGCAAGACTCCCATCCCATTTCCCCCTGTGTATGTATGAATGTACATATGTGTGTTTTGTCCCTTTCTAATGCCAGCAGGCAGGGCTAATGTATGCAAAAGAATATGCAAATGCTTAATTGATTTTTTCTTAAATCTCTTGTCAGTAAAAGTAATGAATTGGTCTAAAATGATTTTAATAACCTGGACGTGTCACCAGAAAATACTCAACCTTTTTTTTTCTCTCTCTCTCTCTCCTGGAATCGCTTATAGTCTTGGAGGGGGAAAAAGCAATCATGGAATGTTAATTTGCCCCCCTTTAAAATATTAAAGATAAATTTCCCTTGTTTGTTCCTAGACCATAGGCAAGGTCCTCTCATGGATTTCCTCCTCCTTGCCTTGCCTTCCTTGGAATTCAATTTTCCTCAAATCTCGTTTAAAGTGGCTTTTTAAAAAGTGGCCGCATTTTAATATTGGTTAGACAGAGTGACCTGCATTTCACCTCGGGTGTTTGACTTGTTCCAATAGGTCACTGCCATGGGGTTATTGATGGGGAAACTCCATTGAAATTTGTCTCTTCGCAAATGGCCTTTAGATCTTCCAGTGAGTTCAATAACTAGTTATAATGTGGAAGGGGAAAAATGAAGGCCCTGGGCTAACGAATTTGATGTTTCATTTTTATGCTGGAGAAATTGTTAGTTAGGAGAGGCTGGGTTCCCCACCCCCTTCTTTGCTCATCCTGGCCTCACTGACCCCCACTCCCGGCCAAGGCTGCTGGATTATAACCCCTTTAAAAACTTGGCCTGGGATATCCCTTTTCCCTAGATGTAAGCTTTAATTCTTATTATTATGAATATTGTTGTTGTCCAAATTCTGAGGAAGGGCGCAGGAAGCTTGCGCGCCTGGGGATTTGTGACCCGAGCTTTGCTATTTAGTGGGGGAAGGACTTTTATTTTTAAAGGAGTTTAAATGCAGTTTTGAAAGATTCAGGAGTGAAGCTGGCTTTAGGGTCTTTTAGGGAAGGCTCCTGGCCTGGTGCTCTCAGAATGAAGGTGATGCTGGGAAGCTGCGATCCCTTACGGGGGTGGATGAGGGCGTCTGCCCTCATCTGTTTGTGGCCTCTGAGCTGCCAGAGACCCCATGGGGTCAGGCGCCCAGGACCAAAGAAGGCGGAAACTGCAAAGTTTAAGGATAGACAGAGAACTCCATGGAGCAAGCAAGGGAACCCCGGGTCTCCTCCAGGGTCAGAGATGGAATTCATGGGGACTTGGTCTGGTGACTGTCTGCGGAACTTCGTAAAAAAGACACCCCACAAAGCCCAGCACCCAAAGACAGTGCGTTTTAGTGAACTGACCGAGAGCAGAGGACGATGATGGGAGGCGTGGAGATTTTATAAGGTTCCCTTTTTGCTGGAATCCTCAAGGAGTGGGAGAGGAAAGGGGGAGAGAGGAAGGTCTTTATTTTATTCTCCCCATCATCACCAAGTTGGGGAACCCTTGACTTCTCTCTAGAGAAGCCTCTGCGAGAAAGGATTGCTTAGAAATCATCTCTCCAGGCTGACCCAGCCATACCAGAGGTTACCATTATTAACCTCAATAATAACAAGAGCATCATTCCCTCACAAATCAGCTGCCTGGGTGCCTCCTGTCCTGCTTCCTTCTCTTTTCCTGCCGGAAGGGGTCCAGTTTGCTCAGCCCCAAGTTTCCCCTTTAAGGCTGCTGGGTTATAACCCCTTTAAAACTTGGACTGGGATGCCCCTTTCTCCCTTGATGTAAGCTTTAATTCTTCTTATTATGAATATTAATAATATTCCACCCGCTTCCTACCCCCTTCTGAGCCTGGGTTCCATAGATGGGAGTCATCCTAAAGGCAAGCACTGATTTTTGGGTTGGGGGAATCGAGGCCAATATGTCAGTACCTGAAACCAGGGTGGCACTTCCCTCTCTCCCCTCAAGCACCTCGGTGCCACCTGTGCTCTCGGACCAACTTTCCTAGGCAGCGCCATGGCACCCCTGGGGTGGGGAGCAGCCCTGAACCGGAATCTCATAAAAATGGGCGAGTCCCAGAAGGGGCCCTGGGCTCTCAGGACCGCGCTGCCCAGCCGGGCAGGGATAGCAGCGATCTGTCCTCCGCTGGCCTGCGAGTCCCTTCCCCCGGACGCTCGCCCTCCTCGGCCCGCACCTCGGTGGCTTCCTCCAAACCCCAGACCCCCAACCTCGGGCCTCGCCCGCTCCCCGTTTTTAATTACGTGATTGATTTTCGCTTTGGCTGCCTGGAGACGCCTCTGCCTCCGCCTGGTTTTAATCTCCCGGTTCCCTTTTTGTCTCTCCGAGCGCTCCCGCCGCGCGTAATTCTCCGGCTGCCCCGGGCCGCGGCCTCGCTCTTCACACCTACGAAATGGTCCCCCGGCCCGGGCCGCGCCACCCGCCCCCGGGGCTCCGAGGACGCGGGGCTGCCAGCCGCCCTCCGAGCTCTTCGCTCCTTTATTCTCTGCGGAGGCGCCGCTGAGCATCACCGCCGCCGGGGCCGGCTGCCCGCGGGCCTCCTCCTCGCCCCGAGAAGCGGGTGTCGGGGGTCAGCCCGGGACCCGCGGAGGCGCAGCGCCCGCTCCGGGCTCGGCGGGGAGCCCAGCCTGGTCCCCGGCCCCGAGACCGGCCCTGCGCCCTCGGCCCAGAGGCGCCCAGAGAAGCAAACAGGCCACAACCGTGCACCACCGCGCGCCCCGGCGGGACCCCGGGGCTGGGGCTCGGAGCCCCCCACCTGCCCTCGGCCGTCCAGGCTGAGGTCGCTCCCCAGCCCCGGACTCAGGCCCGTGGCGGCCGCCTCCGCACCGCCGTCCCGGAGCAGCCGCAGCCCCTGCATCCGAGGGGCGGAAGGTGAGGCCGAGGCAGGAGAGAGGGGAGAGATTTTAATTTCCGAGTAAAGGAGATGTGGGGTGGGGGGTGGAAGGGGAAGACTGGAAATAAAGAAAAGGAGCCCTGGCTCCCACCGCAGCCCTTCTCGCCTCCAAACACACACACACACACAAAACCAGCCCTCTCTGTCCTCCCCAAACCGCTGGTGTTCCGCTTAATGTCTCGTCTATTTACAACTAATAAACACCCCTCTGATGACTCTCCCACGGTCTGCTCATCCTTTGATCCCTTCCAAGAGGGCGAGATGACTTACTATTAGCAGTGTTTTATGATTACATTTCCCCCCTCGGGGAGCGGAGGGAGTTGGGAATGGCTTTCTCACTGGGGAAGAAGTTCAGGGAAACTTGAGTGGGTCGCAATCTTCTCCCTGCACCCCCTTTACCCCATCCCCACCTACAGCACCCCAACCTCTGGTCCCCCAACCTCCCTCCCCAGCAGCAATGTTGCTGGGTAAATAAGAGTCCGCCCGCCTGGCTATTAGGATTCTGGAGACGTTGGCATCTGTAGCAATCATTAGTCAAAGCCGCAGAAGCCAAAGGAGCCGAGGAGTTGGACAGAAAAAATCTTGGAAATGATATACAGGAGCCGCTGAGGCATCAATCCCGCCGATAAGAGTGCGGCTGCCCGGGAGCGAGGCGGCTGCTTAATTGGGCCCTGGGCACCCAGAACAATTGGGGATGAGGCACCTATGGGTTGGGCAGTGGCCTTGGCACCATTTGGGCACCCTACAAAAATAGCTAGGGGCTGGAACACCCTTTCCCCCAATGTCAAAGGCCCAGTGGGTGGAGTGGGGGGACTCCTGCCTCTGTCAGCTTCACCCTGGGAGCCAGGAGGGACCGGGCTGCGGGACTCTTCCCTTTCTCCAGCGCCCTGCTCCTTCCCGGCTCTCCGAGGAGCTGCTGCAGGTTGGGGGCCTGGGCTGGAACTGCAGGTCACAGGGCCAGTCTGGACAGAGGCTGTGGTCCCTCGAGTGGGTTTTCAGGGGACAGGTAATTCCGTGGGACTAGATGTGAAGGTAGCCTTGGAAATAGCAACAGAATCACTTGCTTTAATAAGCAAAATGTCCAAAAGGTATTGGTTCCCTATCCCACTCTTTATTGATCACAGAGATAGAGAGACAGCACATTTCAATCCTTCCAGACAGAGAGCTGTGCTCCTACATGTAGATGTGTACATTATGAAGCCATCTCTAAACATATGTTCTAATATTTAAGTTTCTGCAAAGACTACAAATATCTCCAAATATTCTGCTTCAATAAATAGCTGTTTTATGAGTTGGGACCTTTACATAAATCAAGATAAATTTTTCAAAATAGAGATTGAGCAACATATCTATAGTTCTTTCCAAGTGAGAGAAAAAAAAAAACCACACCAAATATTCATCTAGATGTTTAGAGAGAGAGAGAGCTGTACCAATACATCCTAGCATATACATCCAACACTATAGAAGGATTGGTAATGTGCACGCAGGAATTCGACAGAGGACTGTTATGTTCACTGTGGATCTATAAATCTAGAGATCTATAAATCTATATTTAAATGTGGAATAGAGAGCGATGTAAAACATACATCCTGTTATAGAGACATAGAACGGTCTATAAATACATTTTCACGTGTGCAGCTATAGGATTGTTCAGCTCCCTGTAAAGACACCTGGATTTTTTTTTTTTTTGAGTTTTTTTTTTGGAGTCCTAGGAATGAGGGCAATTCTCTAATGCTTGTGAGTTTGGGATGCCCGGGCCCAGAGTTCTCGGGAAATAAACAAGGGTTCACTAGAGCCTATGCGAGTGCTATGAGAGCCCAGGCACTCAGGTAATCTATGGCCTCATTCCCAGCGTGGAGACATTTCTCTGGCCGTGGCTAGGAGCCCTGATGGCTGGGCCTGAACACGTCCTGATTTACTGAGCCCAAACTGAGACGGAGGTAGAGGACTCTTTACTTCTTTTCCCTTCAGCTCCTTAGCTCCAGGCTCAGGGGAGACCCATGGGAAATTGTGGTGTCTTTAGGAGAGGAAGGGTCATTAACATTACAGAATGGAGCCATGCAGGTAAAATATGATTTTGTCTGCAGAGAACTGGGTTAGAGAGAAATAGGAAGGCTGTGAGCTTTCACACACACCCCTGCACCCATCTTAATTACATAAAACCAGGCTCCACAGCACTGCAGAATTTCCTCCATTCATATGGTGCTAGCTGGGGACTTCTGTATGCTTCACTCCCATCCCCTCTTCGTAAGTTCTCCCCTGAACACCTTGTTCCACCTTGTCAAGAAGGAGTTTGGGGCTTAGGCAAGGGGTCACAGGGAGAGCAGAGCCCCGAGGAGTCATGGTATCTACCACCAGGCTCAGAAGCTGATTGCTTGGATGTTGGTTCCTTTTTAGTTGAGGGGTTGGGGGAACAAGGTCTGTGTGGACAAAAGAAAATGAAAGGTCCCTCGGCTGCTTTTTAAATCTGGAATTTTGAGGAGGGGAATCTCCAATAAGCTCTTTTCTTATTGGAGGTGGAAATTTTTGGGAGCCATGGATTCCCTTTCAGTTTCCTTCTTTGGTTTACTGGGGAAAGGGAGGTATAGAGGGGCCCCGGGTGGGCTTGGGGAAGTGCAATCCAATCTTGCTGGCCAGATTGGGGGAGAGTGATTTACAAAGCAAAACTTCAGATGCTACTTCCTGAGAAGTCACCAGATCAAAACAGCTCCTCTAGGCTTTTATGACCCAGTCTCTACTCCCAACAGGAAAAGCACCCTCAATAAAACCCAGGCCCACGCCTTCACCCTCTATCCAGAGGAGGGGGAGAGACAAAATCTAAAATGAGACCTGACCCTTACTTACTTCACACACACACACACACACACACACACACACACACACACTGGGCTTTCTAGGTGACTTTTAAAAAAAGTATTTACTAGATTTTTTTCTACTGCAGGAGCAAAAAAATCAGCCATGAGAGATTTGGAATTTGAGCCTGGAGCAGAGAGTAAGGGTGATTTGATCAGATGAGGGTCTGGCTTCATAGTCCCTTATTATCTTCCAACTCTCCACAACCCACAGGCCAACAGAAGACTAACGGTCACCAAGAGCCTGGCTGCCACCATCTCTGGGGGCTGCTCCAGGGTTTGGTTTTCCAGAGAGGAAGAAGGAAGGAAACTGGACAGTTGCCCAGGGCTTGAGGGCAGAGGTGGGGAGGGCAGGACAAATGGTCTCCAGGCTGGGTGGGTGGGAAGAATGGGGCAGGGCAAGGACTTGGAAGTTGGCTCAAGACTGGTTTACTGTCTTCAGACCTGGCCAGATTGGGGGAGAGTGATTTACAAAGCAAAACCTCAGATGCCCTCTTTCATACCATCCTTGGGCACATGTATATACTTCTGTGTGTTCACTGAATATACTTCTGTATATACTTCCTCTTCATGTGTGGTGTTTGGGGCTAGGGACTGGGAGAAACAGGGATCTTTCTAGGGAAGACCTGGTTTTCTCTACCCCTCTGAGAGCTGTGGCGTGCACAGTACTGAAGGATCCGAGGGAACTGAGCCTACACATTCCATCGCGCCCATGCAGGGCTCCAGATGGTGGGAGAAACATCTCTGTACTTTTATCAGGTGTGAAGAAGTAGCCTCCACCTGCACTGGCTCCCCAGCATGCCCAGAGCCTCTCATTGTAGCTTCTAAGGCCTGGCCATCAGAGAATGAACAAGGTGCTGGATTACCTAGTGTAACTTCCCCAAGTCCCAAATCTTATCCCCTGGTCCCCCTACACAGTGATTTCTCCTGGGTGTTGCTGTTCCCTTTTGCCCTTTTAGTGAGCCTTAGGAATGGGAGAGGGAGATAAATTCCAGGGTTCTGCAGGACTCATGGGCCAAGAGATCTCTATCATCCCAGTTCAGCCTTCCAAATTCCTTTGGCTCCTGGGGCCCCATCAAAGCCCATTAAGGAGATATTATTAGAACAGACACACCATTCTGGGTTACCAGGACCCATTAAAGGGGGGTGTGATTTTCTTGGCCCTCTAGCAGCTTCATTTCTTCCTTATATTGAATCTCTAACTCAAAGACCACTAACTTGGGGTCCTGATTTCCCCCCTTTTCCACCTCAAAGGGCTCCAAGGTCTCCAGACCCACTGAGGAGGAGGCTCAGAGTGGTGCTTGTCTCCTCAGCAAAAGAAAATACAGAATTGAAACCCAGCCCAAAGCAACTACACACAGAGAGGGAGAGTCAAAGAGAAATAAAAAGTTTACATGGATATTAGGAGGGAATAAGCAATAAAATCTCTCTTCCCAGTGCCTGCTTAGACAACCAAGACCCCCTTGTCTTTCCCCAGCTTTATGGGATCTGGAAACTCTAGTGTGAGAAATCCACACTGGAGGTGAGGGTTGGTCTCAGGCAAGACTACCACACCATCTACCAGGGAAAAAGAATGTGTGTGCTTTCATTCCGAACCCATGAAAGAGTCAATGGAGCAGTATGATGAAGGTGATGTGGAGAGTGAGGGCTCAATAGTTTCCAGAAGAGCTGCCTTCCCTCTGGCTTCTCTTTCTAATCCTTCCCACCTGTGGCATCAGCCCTACCCAGAAGACAAACAAACAGGAGGGTGCTGACAAAGCCCAGCTCACACTGGGTTACCCCTCCTATCCTGCACCCCTGAGGCTCCTCAGAGGAGGGCTTAGAGTTCCCAGGGGCACAGCCCATCAGAACTCCCTCCCCTCGGTCAGCTCAAGAGGACCAGAGATCAGAAGAAGGGGAGAGGTGGAGAATTCAACCAGAAAAATTAACGCTGGAACAAAGTCCTGGAGAGGAGTGGGGCATGAGGAGTACCTGGTCTGCACTCATGAGGTGGCTGGGTCAGGGCCCAGCCCCAAATGTTTAGGGAACACACACTTCTGTCATACATGCACACTCTCTGTGTCATCAAATGCCCTCGCTCGGAAATAGTTTCTCCACCTATGGCTTGTTCTGACTGACTCATGTATACACAAACATTGAAATCCACACCTTCAGTGACTGTGTCCTTTGACCAGGACACAGGATCATCCTGTAGATAAAGCTAATGACTCCTGGAACATTTCCAGAAACACAAATCAAAAGAGGCCTCTTCTAATCATCACACCTGCCCCCAAGAAGATTGGAAGGAAATGATAACTTGTACGAGGTGAGTACATAGGGAATAACCATACTCAGAACTTGAATTCAGGGTTCGAGCTCATATCCACACCTGCTGCACAGCCTAATCTAGAGCCCACATCTATAAAACCTAGAGAATTGGGTAGGACCACACAGGCCAAGATGGGAGTAATCCAGAGGACACCCTCACAACTTCTGATCCCTGCACAATTGAGATTGACCTCCAGGTACAACTTCGTTAGAATAGACGCCAAGGGCTCTCCACAGCTGGTTCAGGGACAGAGGCTAGAATAGTCTCAGCAGTGTGCCCCACTCCCCACCTCAAATAGGGCTAACACAGGAGCTATAGGGAGAGGTGGGGAGGGAGGGAGTGGAGGTGGAGGTAGGGTGAGGCCAGACAAGAGACCCAAGTACTTTGGGCTGATTGGTTGGCAAGGGCCATGTGACCCTACTTAGAGCATTCCTGATTGGTTGCTTGACCCTTCTAGGGTTAAAGACCTAGGAACGAAATTCAAAGCTTTCCGGGTTGGCTGGGGCACCTGATTGCTGCCCCCCCACCCCCTTCTCCAGTGGACCCCTTCAATTCGAGCACGAAGTTGGGGGTGGGAAAACCAAGAACCTCATGCCCGGTTTGTATTAGTCCTACTTCCATTCATCCCCACTACAAAACAGCAAAAACAAAAAACAAACAAACAAAAAAACTGGCCCAGGTAAATTATTGGAGGGGAAGGACGGTCTATTATTATTGGGATAATAAGGAGGGACATTTTTGAGATTAAGAAACAGAAAACGGGACAAGGAAGTCATAGCCCCCTAAAAGACGCTGTATAACCCGAGTACACGGCCCCACACGGAGCCGAGGGAATGGAAGAGATTTGGCCAGGAGTCGGGGAGGCTGAGAGTCGGGCCAGGGTGCGTGTCTTTGCCCGGCTCAAATCTTGATTAAAGACCACGAGACTCGCTTCTTAAGGCCTTGAGAAGGCCGGATTGAGGGGAAGAATGATAGACCAAGGCAAACTCTCATCTCTCCACTGCCTGGATGGAAAGTTTTCAGAAACCCTCAAAAGCACAGACTGGTGGGGAGGGGGAGTGGAGGAGGGCCAGAAGTGAGGAAGGGAGAACCTGAGAGCTAACTTTTCAAATGGGCTGCTGAGGGGAATCCTCGGGGATCCGAATGCCCCCGACGCCCCCCAGGAAATAAAGAACTAGGGAGGAGGGTGGGGAGGCCGAGGCTAACCTAGAAACCAACCGAGGCGGCAGGGGAGGCATAGGATTTCCCCAGTCCCAGCGCCTGCGGTCCTCACACCAACCACCGACTGCCAGGGTGGGGGCTGGGCTCCAGCTCAGACACGCTGCATTTGGGTCTTGTCCCCCTTCACCGTTCCAGAGGCTGCCTGGGCTCCCTGTGGCTGCTTCATCCCTGCTTCTTCCTCAGTCTCTAGGGCAGTAGGGGGCAAGCTCGCAGCCTCCTCTCCCCGTTCCCCAAATGCACCTCTTCACAAAGCGGTGCCTAGACCCCCTCATTCTCCCAGGCAGTCCCCCACTATTCTGGAAAGGTGTAGACCTGGCTCGCCCCTCTTCCCTCTCCTCTTTCCCAAGTTGCCCTCCTTGGGGCCGCCTTCCCCCTGCTTCGGAATCCCTGGAGACTCCGGTGGGGCCCTTCCAGGAGCCCGAGTTCACGTGTTGCCGCTTCTCTGGCTCAGCTCCGGGTGACGCGGGGGTGGGGTACCACTCACAGGTGCGGGGACACGTGCTGCTCCTTCCTACAAACCCGAAGGGAGCCCAGCCTGAGACTGGGCCAGGGCGCCAGGCCCCATCCGCCAGAGCCCATCCCTCCTGAGGGCTGAGGCCTTGCTCGGCCAGCTCATAAAGACAGTTGCCTCCATTCCCCCACCCACTTATGCTCTGCTCATAGCAGTCACTTCTAGACCTTCCAGGCCCAGTTTCACGGATGGCAGGGGCTGGGGTGCCAGGAAAGACCCCAGCAGCTAGAGGGGGGGGGAGGCGTGAGACCACACTGGCCACAGACAGACTAGAACCCCAAACCCCCTGACGCTGAGACAGCTGCCCACCCAGGCTTACTGATGAAGGAGGGGGTGCGTGAGGAGCCCTGCGGTTCAGTTGGCCCCCCTTTAAGATGCTTCTGCCATTTCAGCTCAAAGCCCGTGGGTTCAAAAGCCCCGAAGCCCTCCTTCCCCAGCTGCCCACCCAGCCTGGACGCTGGGCCACTGGCCAAGGGCCACACTGGCCCTTCCCTGGACCAGACGCATTTTTGCGCCTGCACCTACAGTTCCCACACTCCTGCAAACACCCACCAAACACCCAGAGGTGGCTGGCCGCTGTCTTTCTTCCCCACTGAGGAGGGAGAGGGGGTCAGGGAGACCTGGCAGAGCTCTGAAGAGCCCAGGCCTCTCTTTACCCCAGTTGACTCCTCACTGGAGGGAACAAGGGCAGGGAGAAGAGGGCTAGTCTGGGGCGAAAGGCTCCCCATCCTCCTACCTCCCAGCGGCTTCTCTTCTCCTGGGAAGGCCCTCTTCCCTTCCCCTTAATGAGCAGGGACGGCCTTCTCTCACGAAGTGGGAAGATTAGGTAACCGGGAGAAAGGGTCAGCGAGAGAAAATTAACTTACAGCATTCGCCTGGGATTCATTTGCGAAGAAGTAACCTCTCTCACCATCATCCCCAGCGCCGTAATCCCCTCTAACTGCCAGGCCCTCTGTCCTAGCATTAAACCTACCAGCAGCTGCGTGGCTGGACAGTTAAGATTATATATGATGTAAATATATTGTGGGTTTGTCAGCTCTCCCTACACCATAAAACTTGGTTTAATGACATCACGTGGTCCCCCAAGAGCCACTCACGGGCTTGCCTTCGGGCCATTCACATAAATAACCTCCAAAAGTTTCAAACTCCTAAATTCACATAGAAGCCGTGGGTGTTTCTCTAATGCTCAGTTACACCAAAAAGACCTCGTGCTGCTCCTCTGCCCCACCCCCACACCCCCCCTTGTAGGGTGGGGAGGGGGGAGAGGGTGGATCCTTATTTATTTACTTACTTATTTCCATAAGGACCTGTCGCCTTCGAGGTCGTGTTGATATTTTTTTCCTCCTATTTTTTTCCTCCTCTCTCCTCTAATTGCTCAGAGTGGGCCGTATCCCCCTCTCCCCACTCCCCCGGGAAGGTAAGTCACGCTTCTTCCCCTTCTTTCTCGAGAATGACAGAGGGGGTGGGTTTCAGGGCAAAGGGAAGAGGCAGGCTCCATTGTCTCTGTTTGGGACCCAGGCGCCCCTCCTCGAACTACCCCAGAGCGAGTAAACCCTGGTCCGTGGAGATTGTTCCAGGGGGCTGGCCGGTGGGGGACCCACCTCAGACTGCAAAGCAGAAGCCTCTGTTTAGGGCGAAAAGCAAGGGCCTGGGCTGTCCCCACTCCCAGCGCAGGGCTGTGGCTGCTGATGCTGCTGAAGCAGAGGCCGGGGCCTGGGCGCAGACCTGCGGACTGTGACAGGAGGGGGCCCGGGCAGGCATGGCTGCACCTCCCCACGCCTGCCCAGCTCTTCCCGAGAAAGAGAGGCCCAGACCCTTCCTTCGGGGAGGAGGCAGTCCGTGCAAGCTGGGGCTGGAGCGCCTGCCCAGCGGGTCTGAGCAGCTTTGCCCCCACCCCTGGCAGAGCCTGTGGTTCTCCCCCTGAGGCGGTGCATCCCCTGAGGAGGGAGCCCGGGGTCTCGGCAGGCAGGGAGGCTGGGGCAGGTGAAGGCAGGGACAGGGCCTCTTCCTTAGTTAACGGTTACCCACTGGTAGCGTCAGTGCTTCTCCATGCTTCACTGCTCCCCCAATAGTTTTACTCAGCATGGAGGAAAAATTAAAGTAACTCCCTGACGAAAAATTACACATTTTATTTGAGAAAGTGAGGGAGGGAGGAGAGAGACAGAGAGAGAGAGAGAGAGAGAGAGAGAGAGAGAGAGAGAGAGAGAGAGAGCGCGAGCAGAAGGCAAGCTGGCGCTGGGCTGTCTGCTGTGTGCCGTGGCGGAGAGACACCTCTGGAGGCCTAGTGTGTCCTGAGTGAGTGCAGGGTGAAGAAGGGTGCAGCAATGGGTGCCCCTCAATAAACATTTGGTGGGACCTCCTACTTGCTGACATGGCCTGAGGAAAGGCTCTTGGGTCTTTTAAAAAAATGACAGGTGGCTTAGGCAATAGGATGCAGAGAAGTCAGTCCTTATAATAAATCCAAGGAGCATCAGCATTAATAATCATAAATATTCCCCTCACCCCTCCCCAGAGCCTCCCTGCTCCCTTTCCCTCTTGGCTGCTGGAGAAACCTTCTAGCCCAGCTCCTGAACCCCTCTCCTCCCCCCACACCACCACCCAGTGTGGGGGGCCTAGGCTTGGCTCCAGGAAATCACCCCATTGTGGGAGGCGGGAGAGGAAACGCAGTAAAGTTTTATGGACCCTTCCCACATTTGTTTCTCCTATAAAGTACTTCCTCCCCCTTCCCATCCCAAGAGTCTCAATCAGAGCAGAGCGTGGGCCTAAGCCAGTCGCAGGCACCACCTGAATTATCTGCCTTTCCCCCTTCTCTTTTGCCTAACCCCCCCCTACACAAAATCCCAGCCAGCAGAGATAAATGATGGCAAACAGATGAAACTCAGGCACTGGTCTACGCAGCTCCTTTCCAGTTAATTGTCCTGCATAGCCCTAGGCCCTAGAAGGTGGGGAGACAGTCTGAAGATCCCTGCCAGGCAGGGACACCCTGCTGACTGCCCTCCCTCCTCCCCCTCGGCCAGTTTCTGAGAGAGCTGACACACACCTCCTCCAACTTCCCCAGTACCCCTTTACCAAGCAGCACCCAATCTGGGGATCCTTCTGAGACCAAATGGGACCCTAGGCTCAGCCCTCTGTCTCTATGTCCACCTAGGCCCCCGGGGGACCCCTTAACCCCGGAGAGATCTTCAGGGGGCCGAGTGTGAGTACCACAGGGCCACCAGTCCCTGCAGATCCGTTCTGGCCTGCAGTGAGGGCCGCTGCCAGTCTAGAGGCCCCAGATCCACCCAGCCAAGGAGGGAAGGGGGTGCCTAAATGCCTTGGATGGCCACAGCATAGGACAGGCACCGGGTCCTCCCCTTCCCCTAGGCCCTTCTTGGGGCCAGGGGTCAGGACGGGAGCTCAGTTCACCTGCCTTGTCTCACGAGCCCAAGAAGCTCCTAAAAACTCCTTTAAAGGGGAGGTTTGAAGGCCGTGGGCCTCCCCCTGCACCTCACAGCCCATTTAGACATTTTTGCCCAATACGTGCCCCAAACAGAGAGGAGCCACTGCATGTTTTTAGTCCTGTTCTCTCTTTGTCTTTATTTAATATGACAAAATATAGTTTCAGGAAAGACCTGGAGTCAATAAATAGTCGTACGACAGCGATGGGGCAGGCGGGCACAGAAAGTCGCAGCAAGGATGCTAGCAGCCAGGAGCCTCTCGGACCGCTGCTGGGGTCCGTGGCAGGGAACCTCACTATTTGAGCTAGCTAGTGGTCTGAGGCTGGGGGCCTGAAGGCATGCAGAGGGCGCAGGCTGGAGAGGTTCCCGGGTTTGGGGTTGGGAGAAAGGTTTAGAGAGCAGAGGACAACCCAAGGAGCCCCAGGCAGACTTCCATCGGCTCCCCTTTTATGATGCAAATTATTTTTAAAAGAACAACTTGAGTGTAAGTCACTACCACGAGGCACCCCAAATCTGGCGCCAGGCTCCCCCAGGCACAACCACTCTCTCTCGCCAGATCGAAGCGGCCTGGCCAGCCTAAACCGGGAAACAAAGGAGAGAGCCAGGCTTGGAGGGTCGGGGCGCCCGGCCTGCAGCGACCACACGGCCCACCTTAGCTCTGGTGGGTCTGGCTGGGGCTGGGAGCCTTGAGAGGCGGCCCAGGCCGGTCGGTCGGGGCGCGCCAGCCTGGGCAGCCCAAGTAAAGCCCCTGGAACCCCACGGAGCTGGCCCGGGGCGCCCCAGGGCTGAGCAGAACTGAGGGGAATCAGCACAGCATGGCCAGCCCCGCGGGAACCGGGGGTAGGTGGAGACGGGGAAAGCCGGGGAGAGCGTTTTTGTCTTTGAGGCCTGGGAGCGGTCCCCCTGCCACCGCCCTGGCCCTAAAACAGAGAGAGGAAAACCGAGAAGGAAAGGCAAAGGCGAGGGGGGTGAAAGGAGCTCAGGGTGCGCCTGCCGGGCCTCCCCGCTCGCCTCCTAAAGAGCCTCTTTGCTTTTCATTTTGGAATCTTTCTTCCACTTCATCCTGCGGTTCTGGAACCAGATCTTGATCTGTCTCTCGTTGAGACACAAGTTGTTGGCGATCTCTATGCGCCTGCGGCGGGTGAGGTAGCGGTTAAAGTGGAATTCTTTTTCCAGTTCCAGAGTCTGGTAGCGCGTGTAGCTGGTTCGGGACCGCTTGCCGTCTGTCTCTGGAACATAAGCCCCCCCAAGCCAGGAAGGGGTGAATAGCGTGCAGCGCCTCAGCGTCCCCCCCGCGCCCCAGGCCCCGACCCGCGGCGGAGGCACCGGAGGCGAGGCAGGCCCGGCCCGGCCCCGGGAGAGGCGCCTCCGCCCCGGCAGGAAACTTTCCGCCGCCGCAGCCTTCACTCCGCGGCCAGAGGCGCTGAGGGCTGGGGGGAGAGGGAGACCCAGGCTCGGACCGAACCATAAGCACCCTCCAGATCCGAGCACCGGGGACCCCCCTCCCGCCCCTCCCAAGTCGCTGGCGTCCTCCGGAGCGGCGAGCGCGGGCCGAGCCGGCTCCGCGGGGGAGGAGGGAGCCGCGGGGGGATCCCCGCGCCCGAGCCCCGCGCGCCTCGCCCTTTAGGTCCCTCTATTTTTTTAACTCCCTCCCTCTCCCCCAAAAATTGAATATTGCCTTTTATACACGTTTTGTTCCTATGATCCAATTATGTCGTCGTAAATTTGGGCGCACACAGCCTCTAAGCCTTTTAGTGGACAGTTTTACGAGCCATTGATGCCTGGATCGTAAAATTTATGGCCGCGGGTTTTTTTTCTTTATTTGCCCCGCATGGCCTATAAAACCCAGGCGGACCCGAGCGCGCAAAATGAAGTCCTAAAGTTTACCGTGGCTCATGTGCAGTTTGGTCATCCACGGGTAAATCTGTGGCGGGGCCGGTGGCTGGCTCAGTCCGGCGGGCTGCCCTGTCTGCGCCTGCTCCTCTTTGATCTCCCCACTGCTCTTAGCTCGCTCCTCCGGCGCCGGGCGAGCCGCCTTCTGACTGTACATCCCGGGGTTCAGAGGAGCCGCTTCGTCTCTGCCCAGAGCGTGTCCCGGAGCGGCCGCGGCGCTGCAGGCGGGGCGGTCGGGGTGCGCCCGCGGGTTGGCAGCCATGTCTACCCCGTGGAGAGAGTTGGAAGGCGCAGGCGGTGGGAAAGTGATGCTTAAGTCCAATCCGCCGTAGCAGTACCTGGGTGCCTGCACCTCTGAGGCCGATCCATAGTTCCCACAAGTTTGCATGTTATAGGCAGGGATATTGGGGCTCTGCTTATAGAATGAATTGGCTACGTAGGAGCTCATGGCGGGGAGGGCCCAAAAAAAATTTCTGCACCCTTTTTGATGAAGGGTGATTTGTGACTCTTTGAAGTTGAGGGGGTTTTTGTTCTCCAAAGTGCACAATTTATAGGTGGAGATATCTCTTTCTTTATCCTATGCGCTCTTCCCAAATAAGGGAGCCTTAAATAGAGTCACGTGACTCCGGCGGCCACTCATAAATTTGGTTTGATGACCTCCGGGAGGTTAGTGATGGAAGCCGGCGAAACGCATCTTGATATGTTGGCAAAGCCTAACCAAAGGGGAGAGGGAATGAGGGAAACAGAGAGAAGGGGGAGGGAAAAAAAATGGTTCTTTTGAATTGGGGGTAGCCGGGACAACGAGCCCACAGCGACACCTGGTGCCCACTTGGAGAAATTGCAGCTTGGCGCGCCGGCTCGCCTTTTCAGACGGATGGATTTTCTACCCCGTAGAGGAGATGCTGGTTGTTGCTGCAACAAACCCCTGAAATGGCCTTTGAAATTGTATTTAATTTTTAAGGGAAGAGGAGCCCTCGTTTAGGATGCCCTGAGGTTTTTTTTTTTTGGGGGGGGGGGTTACTGATAGACCTGTCCTCTTCAACCCCAGGGCCTTCCAATCTTCAAAAATGGCTGAGGGAAGGGGACTTAAGTGGGGGAGGGGGCCTGCCCAGGTTGGATGTAGAGGGGGCTTATCTCAGGTTGGAGGTCCCTCTCCTTGGATGTCCTCAAGCACTGCTATTGCTGGGAAGTTGCTTGTCAGCATGGAAAAGTGAACCAAGCCTCTGGAGAGGTAGACAGGATGCCCAGGAGAAGTGATCCTGGGTGGGCAGAACTAGATGGGGGTGGGGTGGGGTCATGAGGCTGAGAGTACTGGGGACTCTGGGGTGAGCCTGAAGGTGAGGAGCCACAGTGGCTGAGTAGACCTCCTCACCATGCCAGCGACCCCAGAGTAGCAACAAGGTCATTTCCAACGTGTGTGTGTGTGTGTGTGTGTGTAACCAGACACAATGGCCTGGCAGACTGCTCTACATCCCTGTGTCTGACCCTCATGTGATACCTATGTCCGATATTTCGGATATAAAATAGACGTTGACTGAGGGCATGGAAAAGCAAGATTCCAGCCTCCACGGATATATGGGCAGGGCAGAGGACAAGACCTATTTAGTGCCCTATGGCGGACAGGCCTCTGGACCAGGGACTTACATCCAGGAGGTCCACGGGAGAGGCATTTCTGAGCTAGATGGGGGTGCAGGAAGAATCTGACTGGGGGTAGGAGAAGGGGGTGGGCAGAGCAGGCGCCTGGGCAGCCTTCAAGCCCACGGTCAGGGGCTGTACATCCCTTCGGCCCCTTTCCGACCCCCCTCCCCAAGCTCCAAGTCTTATTCTTTCCTGCCTGCCTCTCCCCAGGAAATCTCCGCCCCTGCCCCCCCCCCCCCCCCCCGCAGGCGGAGGCGCTGGCGGGGGCGCTGGCGGGGATCTGGAAGGTCTAGAAAACTCTGACGGGTTTTTTCCCCTCTGGGAGACCCCCTCACTACCTCACCCTCTGGGTCCGCTCGGGTTTCTCTGGCTGGGCTCAGGGAGAGAAGGCCGGAGCCCGGGAGAGGGCAAGGCCTAGCTGGCTCCTCACCCGCGGAGTGTGAGGGGGGAAGGAGGAGTGAGGAGCCAGACTGGGCTGGGGCTGTGAGGAGGAAGAAATCCTGTCCCAGCCACGTCAGGAGTCCCAGGGCAGGCGAGAGCTCCGTTTCCAGGCTTTCTTTTTCGAGATGTCCTTGAATCGCTCAGTCCCGGCGCAGGGCTCCGGTCCCGCGGTCTTCCTTTCCCCTCCTCTCTCCGCCTCCGCCACGTTTCGCAACTGTCTGTCGGCCAGGCGCCGACAGGGGGCTGCTCGCAGGGCGCCCCCTCCTCACCCCAAGAGTGGGCGGGGGAGCCCGGAGCCCCGGATCATGCTCCTTTGGAGGGCTGGTGGGTCAGAAGACGGACCCCAGACAATCACAGGCAGGAAAGGAAGGCCTGTGTGGGGCTGGAGACCAACCAAGCGACCAACCCCGGCTTTTCCCTTACCCCCATCCAAATCCCAAGCCGCTTTTTTTTATTTTTATTTTTTCAGGGTGAGTGTGTAGGGAGCCCGGGAGCCAGGAGAGGCCCCCCAGCCCCACGGAGGGGGGAGGACAGGCCGGCGCCTGATCGGGAAAGGCGGGTGGAGAGGCGGGAGGCTCGCAGGCTGCAGGCCGGCGCGGGGCTCCGGGGAGGGAGCCTGCCCCAACCTTCACCCCCAGGCCAGGCCGGCGAGCGAAGTCACAGAAATCCCCGATGTAAACTTTTAAAAATAATATCAGTTTTATTAAATATTCGGGGACGGATCCAGAGGTCGGATTTATACAGGAGGGTAACACGAGGGGATTTTTTAGAATTTATTATTTTTTTTCTCCTACGGGCTAAACAAACGTCATTCACTTTTTTTTTTCTCTTTTTGTGATTTTCCCTCTCTTCTTTTTTTTTTCTTTTCCTTTCTTTCCCTTGTTAAGACGGGATCAGAACACGGACGGTGCTAAACATAAATATAAATACAGAGACCACAAATACAGCTAAAAATATTCACACAGAAACGGTCACAGTTTGTAATATGCCATAATGACCCCCAGGATTCTTTAAATACAATTCGCCGGGGCTGGGCATTTGCTGGGGCGGAAGGGCCGGGCAGGGGCTGCGGGGAGGCCCTGGGGGCGGCTATGGGGCCCAGACGCGCCCTCCTCGGGCCTCCTGCCCTCCCCGCCGCCAGCCGGGCCCCAAGGCCCCGGGGTGGAGGCCCCGGGCCCGGGGCGCCGGCTCTGTGCGCGGGGCGGGAGGGGGTGCCGAGCGGGTGGGAGGCCCAGTCCTCATGTAAAGGAGAAGAGTGGGGTCTGAAGCGAGGTTCAGGGACGGAGCCCCCAAGGCCTGGGCGGGGGAAGGGGCCTGCAGACAAGCCGAGAACGAGCTAGCGAGGGAGGAGGAAGAGAAGGAGGAGGAAGTGAAGGAGGAGGAGGAGGAGGAGGAGGAGGCGGCGGCGCGGAGTGAGAGAGAGTTTGTGCGGTGAGGGCGGGGGTCCAGAGTTTACTTTCAGGTCCATATCTGACTCCCTAATTTTTCTCAGGGCGTCGAGACACACCAATTGTGCCAGTGATAAATACAGAGCGTGTGGTCAGGAGGGCGCCGGGGGAGCGGAGGAGGAGAGGAGAGGGGTGGAGGGGCAGTCCGGTCACTCCTTCTGCTTCTCCTCTTCTGTCTCTTCCCGCTTCTCCTCCTTCCCGCCCAGGCTGTCGGCCGCGGCCCCGCCGCCGCCCCCCGAGAGCGTGGACGTGAGGTTGGACTCCTTTTTCCACTTCATCCGGCGGTTCTGGAACCAGATCTTGATCTGCCGCTCGGTCAGGCAGAGCGCGTTGGCGATCTCGATGCGCCGGCGCCGCGTTAGGTAGCGGTTGAAGTGGAATTCCTTCTCCAGCTCCAGGGTCTGGTACCGCGAGTAGATCTGGCGGCCGCGCCTCCGGTCCGCGCCGTAGCCAACCCCTAGAGACCCGGGCACAAAACACACCGAACACAATCAGCCAGGCGTCCTCCGCACACCGGTCAGCCCAGCCCGCTCCTCACCCTCCCAGCTTGACCAGCAGCAGCTCAGGGCCCCTCCAGCCTTCTCCCCCTTGCCCTGCCCCACCCCCACTTAGGGGTACAGCCAGGATCCCAACTTCAGTCCCCCCCCCACACACACACATCCTATAGGTTGGTAGGTGTGTGTCCCACCAGAATGGTGGGAGGGCTGGGGGCAAGAACCAGGCAGAAAGCTGTACATCTAAAAGCTGTTTTTTGAAAAACCCTAAACACTGGGGCTGAGGGCCCTATGTCTCAACGATTGCACTCCCCCACCTCCCCAAGCACCCTAGCTCCTGGGAAACTTCTCTCCCCCACCCCCCACTTTCTGCCCCCTCCTTTCCCCCTCCCTTCTCAGACTGACTCAACTTTGGGGGTTCCCCCACCCCTGCCTTCTCCCCTCACTCCCTGCCCTGTTTCTGCCCCCCCCTCCCCAGCTCGCCTCGGAGCCCTCCCATCGGTCAGGGGCCGAGGGGGCCAGGCCCCTGCCAGCGAGCGGGAGGCGAGCAGAGGGGGCAGAAGAGGGGGCCCTGTCTCGGCGTCGGCGAGGAGACGAGCGTGATTGTTTTTATGGGGCCATAAAAAACTCTCTCCGCCCGTTCTTCTAGGGAAGCCGGTCATAAAGCCAGTTCAGTTTATTTAATTTATATCTCGGAGCCGTAAAACTCACCACTGTGCGAATTCATTCGCTGCATCCAGGGGTAAATCTGGATACTGGCTTTCTGGTCCTGGGGCGCAGTCCTGCCCTGCTCAGAACTAAAATCCTGAGCGATTGAGGTCTGTGTGTTATGTCCTAAGGTGTTTTGTCTGCAGTTTGAGAGCATGTCTTTCTCCTGGTAAAAGGAATTAGATCCATAGTCATACGGCCCCCGGCTGGAGCTGAACACGACATTCTCCTGTGGCGAATAAAAGGGAGTCGAGTAGATCCGGTTCTGGGCAACGGCCGCTCCATAGGTCGAGAAATGCCTCACTGGATCATAGGCGGTGGAATTGAGGGCGACGTTGGGGAGGACGTCCTGGCCCCCGGCGAGGTGGCAGGATAAGGAAGGGTTAGTGAAGTAGGAATTCATCCCTTTGCCTTTACCTGGTCGGGCTATGATTTCTTTAATATTTATTTCTGTCTCCAGTTTGTACTCGGAACTAGATGGTTATAGGGACGGCTCCAATCCAGGACAGACAAAATGACAAAGTCAGCTGACCCCCTTCCAGCCAATCGCAAGCCAGATGTCAAGAAGGGGGAAAAAAATCGCTTCTGCTTCTGTTGATTCCCTAGTTGAGACTAAGTGTGTGCTTTGAAAGTAAGACTTGGGTTTTTTAAAATATATATGCGCGGAAGGGAGCTGGTGTGGAGGTGAGGGAAGGGTGAATGTCCGCGAGCAGGGCCGTGGGGCCCAGGGGAGGAGAGCTCAGCCCCAGCTAACTTTGCTGTGCAGTGGCCAGAGCCAGGGCTGGAGAATCTCTGTATTTTCAATCTGATTTCATCTTTTATATCCGCTCTCTTCTAAAATTACATCCTGATTTCTCCCTGGGAGGAGCTCCCTCCCAGCTCAGGGGGGATCCCCAGAAATCCTACAGGAAATCCTGGTTTGATATCCCACGAAGTGATTCCTCATCACCAAACCAGCATTTTCCCCCCCAACAATTTTTTAAAAAATCAAGAGTAAGAAGAAATTCGTAAACAGGGTGCTCAGAGGAAGGAGGGTGTGGCTGAGAGTCTTGGATGTAGGGGAGCAAATGGGTCTCGAGGGGTGAGGGTGAGACTTCAGGGCAGTGGCAGATCTGAGGTGGGCAGAGGGGCCAGGCGACTGCTTTCCTCTTCCCCAGCTCCCCCTGCCTCTTCCTCAGCACCCCCTTTTGGGGGAAACTCTGGCAGCATTTTTGCCTAAAAGGGAGAATTTTTAAAAAATGCTATAGGAAAGGGAGGGAAAGAAGCAAAAGGTGAAAGAGAAAGAGAGAGAGAAAGGAAGGAGAAAGAACTCAGAGTCTTTCTAGACACATCAACTCCTGTTTATGTTGGTGAGAATTTATGATTTGGAGCCATTGAGGGCCGGTGGGGTAACTCACATAAGATCCAGCCAGAAAGAGAAGGCTGGGGGCGGGGGACTCTGATGGGCTTTTAGCATCTTGCAAGCTCAAGCCCTTGCACATGTTAGAAGCCCCTGCCCCCTCTCTTCCCTGCTAAAGGAGGCACCCTTGGACCTGGGCTCTGGGGCTTGGAAATTCCAGCAAAGTACTCCCTAGGAGGGTCAGCCATACCTGGTGGGGCCCAGCCTCTCAGCAGCCCTTACCCCCCATTTCTTTCCACCTTGAAGCTGAGAAAAAAAGGAAGAGAAGGCAGATGAGTCCGAGGTTTCTGAGGGAGCCGCAGTGGGCGAACTGAAGCAGCCGAAGGTGTGCAGATGGGGTTTCCGCTCCTGATTAATCCAAACTTAATTTGCTATCATGGCATAGGCTAGGAGGGCTTTGAGTTGACAAAGAAGGGGTGGTGGGTAAGGGAAGAGGGCAATGGAAGCCCATATTTTCCCCTCATCATTTTTTTTTTGGGGGGGGGAGGACTGGCTATAACAAGGACCCGGATGTCGCCAGATTTTATGATCTTTTCCTTCTGTGTAACAAAGCAGAGTAATCAATGGGTAGCAATAAAGCCATAAACGGGACTATGCTGGGAAAAAACTCGTTTATTCATCTTCTGTAACGTTAAGGTTTCCCTGGAGTGTCGCTAGGGGGGAAAAATAAAGTTTTTGAACCCAAAAGCAGACAGTGTGTAGGAACTGGTGGCGACAACATGCTAGTTAATACATGAAGCTCCTTACCGGGCTGAAGAGTCTCTCTGCCCAATAGTTTGTGTTGGCTTTTAAAGTCACAGGCTCAGTCCCTCAGAGAAGGACATGTGCTGTTATTTAGAAGGGCGGGGGAAAGATCCCTGTCATTACAAAGATTCTTCCTCTTGGACCATGCTTTCCTTTCCCTAAGAAGCTGAAGGTGAAAGGGCAGGGGAGGATTCTTAAATTAAGAAGAAATTTTTAGATGCATCATCTCATTTTTGGGGTGACGTGGCAGGTTCACAAAACACAGACACTAGCGTGAATCGCTTTCCCCTCTCAGAATCCAGTTGTCCTCCAACTCATGGCATGCCTGAACAGAGGTTTCCAACAGCTGGCTGGGGCTCCAGGCCCCCTGGAGGGCAAAAGGGAGAGAGAGGGAGAACTAGGGGCGGGGAGACCCAGGGGGCTGAGCTAAGGAACAAGTCAGTGCACCCCTGGACACAAGTAGCCGCTCTCAGAGTTCACAGACGCCTCTCTCCCTGAGGGGAGCCGGGTAAGGCGTAGAACAGGCCAAAGAAAGAGTAAATTCCACCACCACCACCACCACCCCCCATTTCAGAAAGAGATTGCTAGAGGGATAAATCATGTCAGTGATATTTCCTGCAAGATATTAAATTGTTGCAATGTACAACAAATTGAATGATAGAAGATAGGACATCTTAATGAAGTTTTGCTTTCAGTGAGTGTTGATTTTCTATGTGTTTTTAAATCTCTTTTATGGATGGGCAGGGGGGAGGAAGGTCCTTGGAAGAAAAAAGGGGAAACACATACTCAGCTCTCCAGCAAGGATGCCAGAGTTCCCCTGAGCCCCTCCCACACCAAGTCTAGAGGGGAAGAGGGTCCCAAAGTTGGGGAGAGTCTCCTTTGGGCCTAAAGGCAGTGTGTGTGTGTGGGGGGGGGGGACACGACTACGACCTGAGGAAAGTCTCAGCCCCAGAAAGTTAAGTGTTTTATTACATCCCTAAACAGAGGGCAGAGACTGAAAGGTCTGCCGATTTATAATGAACAGAAACCAGCTGCTGGGGGGCGGGCGGGGGGAGGCAGAGATGCTGGGAGGGGGAGAGAAGGGGAAGCAGAAACACAAATAATTTCCCCCAAAGCTTAAAGACTTTCAGCCAAATTAATTCCCACCACATTCTCCCCCATCACCTTCCGTTCCTGAGGACAGAAGCGCCCTCCTCTCGGTGAGATCTTTAATTAAGCAGCTGAAATCTGCTGGAAGGATTCGCTCCAAGGGGGGAGAGCAGGTCAGAGGAGCCCAAGCTTCCCTCCCTTGGATTACATTTTCCTTTTCTCATTTTATGTTTCTTTCTTTCTCTCTCTCTCTTTTTATTTTGGCAAAAGAACGACTGTCTATGGGGAGAAAGCTGGGACTTGGGTTTTTCTAAATATATTTATATTTTCCTGTTAAATTTGTCTGAAAACAATTATGGAAACTCATCAACAGAAGCAAGAACAGATGTTTTATTAAAACTGCAGTTGAGCTCTGTAAATATGCACATGTCCTCGGAAGGGGAGGGATAACTTGTTCTTTGTTTCTATAAAACAAGCGGGAGAAGCAGAGAGCACCCCCAGCAGGCCCGCAGGTCTCCGAGTTGCTCTGCCCTTTCGGCCTCGGAATCAGGCATTCCGAGGGGGTTTGGCAGCGAGAGCAGACTTTTTGCTTTGGGAGCTGTAATTAGCGGATTCAAACACAGAATTCAAAAAAACACAGAACAGGAATAAAGGGGGAAAGTTGCCGCTTGCTGCTCCAGCCCCCTCCCCAATCCAAAACACATGCTTCTCGCAAGCACTAATTATAGGAGAGGAACTCACTGCAGGCCTGCCCTGGGCCTGAGTGGGGGGCAGGAGTCCCCAAGGCTAAGGGTCTAATTGGCAGCTGGGGGCTTGAGGGTTTCCCAAGGCGAGTAGAACACTCCTTTCGGGAGTCTCACCCTGCTCCAGGCCTAGGGGTCTGGGGGCCTCTGAAGGGAGAAGAGGGTGGGTGGATCTGGGTGGGCTCTGGCCCAGAAGGAATTTGGGATTCGTAGTCAGGCCTCACCTCGCTTGCCTTTGCTTTCCATTCTGCTCTGGGAAATATATTAATTTCTTAGGGAAGGTATCTGAAGTGAGAGGGCTGAGATCTGGAATTTTTATTTGGGAGCAATCAGAGGTCCTGCTTTAGTTTGTGTCCTGCCAGTTCTCTCTCTGTCTCCCCAGATCCCCCAAGTCTGCGTGTGGATGTCTGTGACCCACCCAGTCTCGCATACAGATGCACACACTCCTTTCCTGGCTGCCTGGCTGCCTGCGCCACCAGCTACAGCTCGGCGCCTCCGAAGGCTGCTCAGGGACCGACCGACACTGGATCCGCAGTCCTCGGCGCTCGGCCTCAGCTGGGCCGGCGTTTGGCTGCCTGGAAGCCACGGCAGCTGCCTGGCCCACCCGCCAATTCTTAATTTCCAGAGCTGGTAGGAGCTGTTCCCCCACCGGCCCCTTTTGTGCCACTGGGCAAGGGCTGAAATCCCTCTTGCAGAGAACTCAGAGTTTCAGTACTTGTTCAGCTCACTTCACAATCGCACTGTTTGGTTAAGACTTTGCTGTTCTAAAGTGACTGACTATTCACTTGGCCCCGACCTGGTCTATGATTAGCTTTTGTATTTTAAAAGAAATTAAATCCTACTCTAAATGCCCAGTGTTTTGTGCATGAACTCCTTTGATCTCCACAGAATCCAGAATGAAAGGATTGCAGAATCGCTCAGTCCACCAAATAACCTGAACGCAGGGAGCTGGGTCTGCTTGGAGACATCAAAGAACAGCTCTCTCTGAGAGCCCCCCGTTTTTCACGGATATGTGGGAGAAGTTGTCTGAGAACATAACTCCCCACATACACACTGCCTTCCCAAACATGCTCCTTCTCCTTTCAAAGTTCAGGCGGGGAGACACTTGGAGAAAAGTGAAATTTGACACACCCAACCCGGAAATGGATTCCATCAGGGGGTGCTGATATTATAGGAGAAGGCCCAAGTTGGCCAGCTGAATAAAATTGGGGGTCCACAGGGAGGGAGGGGGAAAGGAAGAGGCCAGATGGGGCATGTCAAGTGCCTGAGAACTGCTTCAAACACCTCGGAGGCCTGGGCTGGTGATTCCTCTTTCGAGTTAAGAGGTTTTAAGAGGTTTAGAGGCTGCCCAAGCTGCTTTTGTTTTATTTGTCATTAAGCAGAGAAGAAAGGTACCTGGAGGGGCTCTGCTAACTCACATCATATTTTCTCTCCTCCCTCTCTCTTTCCAGGTTCCTGCCTGACCTTTCATTACTACAACTCCACTTAATGCTGCTACCATCAGCAAGCATCAACTCCCACTCTGGTGTGTGCTTGGCTTCTCAATTCACTTCTCTGGCTTAAGGTTAAAAAATAAAATAGGTCCCAAGTATATGTTCCCTCATACTCAGTCTTGTGGGTTCTCTCTGGAAGAAATCATCTCTGGCTTTTGTGGCCTGGCCCCCAAGCGTGCTACCTCTGTCTCAAGCAACTGATTATGGGCTGAGGAGGGGGCATAGGAGAGCTTTCGGGGAAGGGGATGGGTGGCAAAGCGAGTGGTTTGCTTGGTCCAGGAGGAAGAAATGAAAATCCAAAATATTCAGAATTTTTTGGCCCCCAGAATGAGGCCAAAGGATTCCGGACCTCCTGGCTTCTCTTCTGACCCTCCACACTGAGCAAGTGCTGCTTAGACCAATTTTGGAGGTTTATGAGAATTATAAAATCTAAGAACATGGCATTTATGACGTCACAGTGAGTTGTCATGAGGAAATTGTAAATGTCATAAAAGTTATATACAACAGGAGCTTTTTGTGTGTGGGTGCCATGCCTTCCCTGACTTGGTTTTTCTTTTCCCCTTCTTCCCCTTATGTAAGTTCTCCCACTTGAAAATAAAATGTTATTATGTTCTGGAACAATAAGCCAACAATGAAACATAGTCCTCATTTCCCTATAAATAATTTTATCCTTTATTGTTTGCAGATTTGAAAGAACCATTTAATCTGTGCTGGCGAAAAGAGGGAGAGAGATGGGGAGGGGGGAATTAATTTCAGAAAGGAGAATATTACTTACTTCAATGATACTCTTTTAGATTTGATAGCCAGGAGCAAAATTAGAGGCAAGCCGAGCCGCCTCTCTGACTCTACACCTGGCGGGATTGGAAATTTATAGGATCTTTAGCGAAGGGGCAATTTAATTTTGTAGGATTTGCTTAAATTCACTGCTATTTTGGGGGGCCGAGGAGAAGGGAAGGTGAGCGCCATGCTTTATCTAGCTTTACGAATCTGCCAACATTACCCTGATTTAAAACCCAACAACCTGTGTCTCAGGGAAAACTCCTGCAGAAAGGAGTGGGGGAGAGGAATGAGGGGGGCTCAGCTTTCTCAATGACTGTGGCCCCCTTAACCAGGCAGTTGCCAGGGGAAAGGAAGAAAAGCTGGAGGCGAGGGGAGGGCTGCTCCAAGTCTCTCTACCACCAGGACACCGAAGGTTTATGGTGTCCCCATAATCCCCCAACCCTATAAACAGCTGCCCTATTTTAGTACAATTTCTGCTTCCTCCCTTCAGAAAGAGAGGGTGAGGGAGGAGGTGAGGGCTGGAAGGGCCCCGGGCCGCGGTGCTGGAAAGGGGAGGGAGTCAGGATAGCACTGCACTTTGTTCTCCCGGGTGAGTTTGCTGGTTTGGCGGGTTTCAGACGCAGGGTGGCAGCAGACAAAACAAGTAAACAACTCCTCACAGACACAATAAACCGGGCAGCTGCACCGCCGCCGCCGTGGCAGAGGCCGTGGGCCAGGAGAGGGGCACAATTGGGGGGTAATGTCACACCGGCACCCAGGGGTGTCCAAGGCCTGAAAACCCAAGGCCGCTCTTGGTGCCAACGGAGAGAAGGTGGGAGAAAGCAGCGTGCCTCTGCGCCCACAGCATGTCTGGACAGGAGAGTCTCGGTAGGAACCTGATCGCCTAGGAGCAGAGGAAAACGCCACCAGCCCCTCTCCTGTCCTTACTTTCTTTTATGAGGGTTTTTTTTTTTTAAGGACATTTTTATTTCCCCGTGCTCTGTCTTTTTGTGGCCCCAGAAGGGAGAAAGGCTAGGAAAGGAGGCTGGTTAATTGCCTGCCCTGGCCCATACTCAATGCTCCAGGCCCACAGGGGCCAGACCTTCTGGCATTGCCCCATCAGCCTTCTCATAGCTTATGGGGCGGACTGGATTCAAACAAAGTCTCATTTGTAACCAGATATCGGAATTTGGGGAACTTAAGAGAACCCCTAATCCGTCCCAGAGACAATGACAACGAACGCAGGCAAATCTTGGACCCGGTAAACGGACAGAGTGAGCAAGGCTGGAGGGTAGGTGTTCACCGCACTCCTACCCGTTCAGGCAGGCCTGTCCGAGGGCCCAAGCCCACAACTGCCCCAGGCCACGGCCCAGAGGCCACCAAATCACCTTCGCTGCCCCAGCAAGGCTGTAAGCACGAGGGCCCAGCCCACTGCTCCAAGCAAGGCACACAGAACCCTACAGAAGGTTTTCCCACAAAACTCACAACACTGCTGGGTAAAACAGTCTCTGAGTTGGGGAAGTTTGGGGGGAGGTGTGGAGAGAAAACAGAACAGATCAGTATTTCCCCAGCCCAGCTGCTGGGACAGCCAGGGTATTAAGGTCCGAGAAAGCTTTTGTAGTGTTGACTGGAACCTGCATACTCCAATGGCAGCACATACAATTGTACACATTTCCATCGAGCACGCACAGAGAGCCTTCTTCGTGCACCCAGTGTCCCCTGGAGCCCTTGCCCACCTCGGGAGGGCTAATAAAATTTTGCATGCACATAAAACGGTGTCTGAGCGAATACAGGCATGGTAACATACAATCAAACCAATGAGGAAATACGAGTCTGTGCATATTCACGCAAAAGTCCGAGTCTGTACACTTGAGCCCCTATACATGTGTACAAAGCTACCAAGCCTGGTTTTCGAACACAACAGCCAACCCAACAAGGCCGCCTTCTCCAAACAAGGTCGCATTCTTCACGGGGATCACAACTGTCAGATCGGGGAGAGAAAGGGTTTGCTCTGCCCAGTTCTCCCTCGCTAGGAGCTGGTGCATGAAATACAGCCCGTGCCAGGGCTGACAGAGCCTGTGAGGGGCAGGCCTGGCGTGCCCAGAGAGTGGACTCAGAGCTAAATCCTGGGGGCTTGTATCAGCATCGCCAGGCGGGAGCACACAGGTTCAGTGCCTCTGCCCAGCCCCGAGCCCCTGGTGAGCAGAGTCCCTGAGCCAGCTTCTATTCTCAGCAGCCCAGGCTATTATTAGATAATCGCTGCAGAACTCGCCTGCACCGAGGATCTGGCCTGCGAGGCGGTTGAGAGCTGCCACTGGTAGCCCCTCGTGTGCCTCTGTTTGAGCGCCAGAGAGGGGAAGAAGGAAGGGAGTGAAAATCGAAAGTAAGGAGGGAAGGAAGGGGCTGGCGTTTGGGGCTGTCTTTATCCCCTGGCCAGACTAGAGAACTGGAAAACCAAGGCCAGTCCCCATGGCGTTTTCTGCTCATCAGGAGTCTAGGGATGAAGGGTTTGGGCGCCCATAGGACCCTCGTCAGAGAAGAGACAGAAAATCAATTGATAAAAATATTATACAAGGACATCTCAGGATGGTGCTATTCACCCGTCAACTGGAACCCTAACACCCTGAAACCTCACCAGCAGCACATTCTGTGAGACCCCCCTGCAGCCTAGAGAAATACCCCGCCTCGCCCAGGCCCACCGCTCCAAAGGGAAGGGACCGGACCCTCTAGTATCCCCACGGCCCCAGTGGCCTTCTTTAGAAACCCTTTCCCCAGGGACAAACAAAGGAGCTCGTGAGCCCCCCCCCCCCCTCCAGAGGGTATGGCCATCTGCAGGGGCGGGGGCGGATAAAATACAGGCAAAAGAGAGAAATAGAGGCCTCACCGGTCGGCGGGTTCCCACATTACGACAGGAGGAAAGCTCCCATGTTCAGGCCTCCGGGGGGCCCCTCCACGGGCCCACTGGCCTCCCCTTGCCCTTTCCAGGCCTCTCAGACTCGGGGATCTCGGTGGCCGCGGCCTGGCTCCCGGAGGCCGCGCCCGAGCGGCGGGAGAGCGCGCGGCAGCCGGAGCCGGCGGCGGGCTGGGCCCATTTGGGGAGAGCCGAGCGCTTTCCGCGATCGTAAACAAGGAACGCGAAATTAGCCCCTCGGCAGACGCCTCTGCCGACACACACAGCCCTATTGGGGGGGTGGAGGGAAGGGGGGGAGAAAGTGCCATTGCTTCCCCCGGGAGAATACCTCAGAGGCCTTTATGTCGTCTGCGAAAGGGGAATTTTGGGGGGGCAGGAGAAGAAGGGAAGGGGATTGCGGGGGGGAGGGGAGGGAAGATTCACCGTCAACCCGAGCCCAAGGGGTTTGATTTGAACGCAGTCGAACTATATTTTTTAGGAATTTGATAAAAACAGGTTCTCTTCCTCCCCCCCCCCCACCCCCGCCCCCAGGCGACGGGTCAGGGTTTAAACAGGAAATCGAGGAGCGATCCCCTCCCCCACTCGGGCTGGTGGAGGCCGGTCGGGCCTCTGGGGGGTTAGCGGGGGCGGCTCCTGCCTCGGACTGGAGGTGAGTCTGGCCCCCAGGCTCAACGCCCTCTGGAGGAGCAGGCGCCCCCTCTCCCAGCCCTGGGGTGTGTCCGCCTGGGTGTGCAGGCGCCTGCGTGCGCGTTGCCCTTTATAAACAGAAGCTCACCACACATACAGGGGCCGCCTCGGACCCAGGCCAGGGAGCAGGGCGGGTCATATATCACATGACAACACATTCAGGGCCACGTACATTTGGAAGAAATTAAGCCACTGTGTTATGAAACCATATGTGTCGGGTTAGGACTATACAACACGCCATTAGCACCAATTATTAGGAAGAGCCCGGGCGCCCCAAACCCTCCGGGGCCGCCCGAGGCTGACGTTCGGACCCCGGGAGCCGGCCACGCCTGGAGCCTCAGTGCCTCCACTCACCCCGGACGGAGGCCCGCCAGCCGGCGAGGCCTGGGCTGTGCACCCAGGCTGGGGCCTCCCCAATGCCCACGTCCGCCCAGGCTGGGCCGCTCCTCGCCCAGAGCGGCCAGGCCGAGGCGGGTTAGGCTGTCCGGCACGGATCCCGGGTGGGGTGGCCGCTGTTGGGGGCGGGGGGCGCGCTCCGGGGCAGAGCAGACGAACAGGCCCCTGTGCTCCCAGCGCCGGAGGAGCAGGAGGCCCCCACCCCCACCCATCTGCCCGCGGCGCCGGGCACCTCCCATCCTCCCAGCCGCTCGAATGGGAGCGGGAGCTGGGGGTGCGCAGACGCTCTGCCCTCCGCTGACGCTCACCAGCCACCAGCCTCGCTCCCCCCCAACCCCCAAACCCCCCGTAATTGCCAATTAACAGGCCCCGCCGCCCGCCCGCCCGGCGGCGCGCGCTTCCTGCTCCGCGCCCGGCCCTGGGCCCGCACTGCGCATGTGCGAGCCCGGCGGCCGCGCGCTCCGGGAGGGAGGGGGCGCGCGGCGGGGAGGGGCGCGCGAAAGTTTGTTTGGGGGTTGGGGGGCCGATGGTGCTCCGGGGCGACGGCTACAGCCTACAGGTTCCCTCCTGCGCCCCGGAGAGTGTGCCTCTGGGCCCCCTCGGCCCCGGCCCCGTTAGTCCAGAGGCCGCACAGTCAAACAGCAGGTAAGGCCGCGGTGAGCGCCGGCGGGCGGCGGGCGGCGCCCTAGACCCGGCCTTGAGCCCCAAGGGCGCAGCCTCCGGCCCGCACCCCGCACCCCCAACTTCGGCGCACAGTGACATCAGTGACATCAGGACACATACACATACTACCTAATATCCCAGTTTAACCCGATTTCGCCCCCCTCCACGTTTCCTCCCCATAAGTGCCCACGCGCCCACCCCCTCGCACCCCCTCTCCTCCCTAACCGAGGCCAGCCGCGGCCGTCCTTATCTCCAAACCGCCACCCAGCTACGGACCATTAGTTACATATTTGAACCAATAAGGAAACACTTACCGGGCGCTGCTGTCACTCTCCCTCTCCCTCGCTCCCTCTCTCTCCCTCTCCCTCTCCTCCTCGTCTGTCCTCATCCCGTGCCGCCGCCGAGCCTGCCTCAGCTCCACACACGCATCTATACTTTACAGACATTTTTAAAAAAATAAATGAACCCTAATAACCGAAAACCCAAATAAAAAATTAAGGAGCGTTGCAAGAAGGGGGCAGGCGGGAGCGCCCGGGAGAGGGGAGGGGAGGCGGCTGCAGCTACTACCTCAACTCCCCGCCGCAGTCCTCCGCCCCTGGGGGGCCGGGGGGGGGGGCCGGGAGGGAGGGAGAGGGGTGCCCCCCACTCCTGCCTCTCCCCCGCCCCCCGCCCCAGGTGCCCCCAGCTTCCGGCGACTCCACCTGGGAGGGGGGGAAAATTAAATGGGGGGGGGAGAAAATAATTATTAATCAGATTAATAAAAAAAAATACTGATAATGAAGGGAGCGCCCTGCGCAGGTTTCCCTGGCAATGGTTAGGCTCTTACGGGGAGGACTGTTCTGAGGAGCGCTCCGAACGGACAAACCACAATAAAAAGTTCACGTTCATGGATGGAATCCACATGACTTCTTGTGGCCAATCCAACTTGTGAGTCGATCGTAAACTTTTATTACTCAGCTGTAAATTTTCTGCAAACAACCGGGAATGCGATGCATTTGTGTAGCGTGTGCAAATGGGCGCCGCGGTCGCCATGTTTACCCAATTCTCTCTGAGAGGGAGCAGCCCCCGACTCCCCGCGCACCCCCACCCACCGCCCGCTCCCCCAGGGCCCGCGCCTCGGCCGCGCAGACAGGGCAAGGGGGATGCGAGAGGAGGTAAGGATGGATTCGGGCGCTGAGCCGGCTGCCTCCCTTTGCCATGGCGATTTTAAAATATTTTCCTTAATAAATAAGTTTTTAGGGTTGGATCTGGGGGAACTGAAGCCTGGCAAAGGTTTGTGACATTGGGGCAGTGAGGGCTGGCGGGGGGAAGGGACTGAGAAAGGGTGCGCTCCTCACCCCTGCCTTTTTTTTTCCTCCTGGTAAGTGAACAATATCCTTCCCAATGGGGTGTCTGGGCAGCCCCCCACTGCACCCCAAACAGGAATGGGAGGGGCAGGCCCCTGGAAACCTCTGGCAAGCCTGCACTGGCCGTGGTCTGCAGAGCAGGGAGGGCTGAGGCTGGTCTGGGCAGTCCTGCACAGACAGCAGGACAGGATGGGCACTGGGAGCGGCTTCTAGAACCTCCAAAGCACCTCTCACCCCCAGGTTCCTTTTTCAGAGAAAATACATTCCCCCCCAAACCACCCCTACTGTCCAGTCTTCTCAATTCCAAGGTCGAGATGGCAGTTACTCTCAATCTTTTTAGAATTCAAAATAAAACTAAGGCCCCAAACCTTGGTTCCCACTTCTTTCTCCTTTAGGTGCAAGGCAGTTTGAAGCCCTTTCTGTCCCGTCTGGTAGCCCACACCCGGCCGCCTTTATTCAGAAAAATCTCCCGCATCCGGGCAGCTGAGACACACCTTGGAGGCACGGAATACAGAACCTTATCCCTCCCTAAATTCCGCCTTTCTTACTAAACTCTGAGCACCCGAGGCACCCCCACACTTCTCCAGACCCCAAATTTTGGCGATGTGTCCAGTGTGGGGGAGCTCGGAATAAAGCCCCCATAGAGACTGCTTGCCCATCAGTCATCGCCCAGTCACCCTTCCCACCGGCTGGAGGTTTGAAGGCCCAAAGCTCTCCCCCTGCACCGCAGGGGGCTGGCTTGGGGACTCTCAGGGCTGGGCGCCCTACCCCAACCGACAGGGGTCCCTGGTCCCCTCCCCAAGCTTCCTCCACATCAGCGAAGCAGTTCCCTCCGCCGGATGCAGGGACTCGTTTCTTTTACAAACCCACCCATAAATTTTATAACAGGTAGTTAAAAATTACAACAAGGAAGCGCTGGCCCAGCTTTTCACAATGGGCCACAGGGAGAATGGGACGGTACTGCGGCAGGCAGCTCGCCGGAAATTTTCCTTCTCGTCTGTGACACAACCTGTCCCGAGTTCGCTCTAATTGGGGCGCGGTGACCGCTCCAGCCGCTCCCAGCCGCGGGGGCATCTCATTTGGAAAAGATGAGGATGGAGAGGCCAATCCACACTCCCGTCCTAGGGTCCTCAAGGAGCCTTTTAGGACATCCAGTGCCCACCCCGCCTCCCTCCTTCCCCATTCCCCGCAGGCCTGCACCTCCCCTGGCTTCGGCAGTGAAGCGGAAGAGAGAGAAAATGATGAGGGATTTTTTAAATCCACAGAAACGAATTTGCCCCCCAACTTAATAGCTGCATTATCTCGTCTCCACGGTTGAGATTAGAATAATAAATTCACGGCAAAATGAGGGAGATGCTTCCACTCAGCATTTTAAAAGATACTATTTTTCACAAATCACAAATCGCTTTCGGAAGCCACTTTGATTGGCTAATAAAAAAGTAAAGAATGGGAGAGAGTTCTAACTGCCTCAGCCGAATGGTCCCCATTCCCGTAATGGGACGGCGGGAGCGTTTGGGAGACGCGCGTTTCTAAAAAGAGCGCATCCTGCTCGCAATTAAATTCCCCCATAAAACGGGTTTTACCTTCTTTTCTCTCCAAACGAGAAAACGGAGGCGATGGGCAGGAGGGGTGGGGGAGCGGGTGCCGCCAGAGGGGGCGGCCAGAGATCTCTGAGTTTGGCCCACGTCTCAAGCGACACCCGCTCCAGATGCACCCGGCCCGCCCTCCGACGCCCGGCTTGGGGCCACGGGCATTGCCGAGCAGGGCCAGGGATGAATGGGACATTGGGGGGAAATGAGGTGAGATCCTTCCCAGCCACTT